TATCAATATGAGGGCCCCAATCTAGTTTAGAATCTAGTGTTATTCCTAAAAATACTGTGGTATCCACAAGGCTCATGTACTTATCTTTTTATTTTAAAAATAAAAATTGGCATTGCCGTACTCAGGGCCTACAAATGGGACCATAGCCGTTATGCGGCATTCCGACTAAACGGCAAACTATGCGATACAAATCTTAAAGGAGAACCTTCATTGCAATTAAAAAATACTGGCACAATCAGTCAGGCTCAAACCGTGCTAAGACTAATCGATGGTCATTCACAAAAACTAACAGAAGAGCTTTTGAAGCTCGGCCGAACGAACGTCAATTGTACAAACATTAATCGGGAAATCAAACACAGAACAATATAACATGAAATAGGGATGATGACTAATTTTTGTTTGTTTGTCCGTCAGATAGAGTATTAAAAAATATTAAACACGTATTTATTTATTTTTTTCGTAATCATAAAATTATGGCGTTACATTGAGTTGAAATTTCGCATGACGTCACGTTAGAGTACGTTTTCTACTCAACTGTGACGTAGCGAGCCCCCACTCCTCAACTTTAATGCCTGTTATCTAAGCTATTTCTTGTTAAATTGAAGTAAAAAAGAATACGTATCTAATATTTTTCTATTTATCTGACTGACGGACTAAATAGAATTGCATTTTTTACCCAGTCATCATCCCTATTGACACTGTTATTTTCTGATATTGTAAACAGGAGCGTGAAACACCAAACAATACCTACTAACACTTCATAACCGGTGTCAAGTTCTAGATATGGGTCTGCTGTATGACATTATTCGTGAGCGTCTTGAATGTCCAGAGCTTTTCAAACTTATATCCTTTAGTACTCTCCCACGTCGAACTAGGTACAAGCACTTGCTACATATTCCATTGCATTACACCAATTACGGTCAAAACTCTGTACTTTCTAGGTTATCCAAACCTTTCTAGGTATCTAGGTTGTTGGTTCTAAAAAACAATCCCTATATAGAATCAGTAATTGTTTGACTGAACACGAATAATTGTATCGCAATAACATTTTTTGTCATAAAATTATGTGTAGGGCATATTCATTTTATATGTCCTACACATATTTGGGGCGAGTCACAGTCGGGTGACCACAGTTCCATAAGAAATTGCATAACCCATTAAAACTAACTTACTTCTATGCCGTAGGTATTCTTTTCTGTGATATTTGTTTCATATTTTACTATCCAATGCGAGGTATAATATTTTCAGTATCATATGCTAACATTTACGTTGTAACAGCGCATTATTAATCTACTCGGAAATTAAAGCAATAAGTTAGTTACGCTACATCCCGCTCGAGGCGCCACCACAACACGTATTTGATTTCCGCCAGCGTGCGCAGATGGCGCAGACGAGTAATTTAATATTCTCTAGCTACATGGTGGCAATAAATGCAATCATACACACCAACAAACATGGGAATTGCATTTTCGATACACCGTTAAATCTATATTCATTAAAAATTATTTCTTTTTCATTGAACATGAATTACTTAGTTCTTCTGAAATAGATAGATTTCTAATCTATAAAGATAATGACTAAACTATCACATTATCTATTAAATGAAAAAAATAAATATGAATTGATACTACAAAAAGTTGAATACACACACATAACTGTACAATAAAAAGGTTATAGGTTAGGCATTTGAGCTTGAAGATAACAGAGTAATTTAGCTAAAAATAGCTGAACTTTAGGGGTTCCTTCGTAGTCGTAGTATATCGAACGCATTACTATCTAGCTGTTAAAAGAGTTAGTACTCCTAAATGATCTTTTTTTTTCTAATCTGTCCAGAAACTGCTCCTTATGAAATAATTTACATAAAAACTTACTATTAATATATAAGATATGCAAATTTTAGAATGGCGCATAATAGATATAATATGAATAAAACTTAAGTTAATATTAAAATAAATATTATATAACATCATATCAGGCTTATTTGTTAACTATATTTGATTATGATTAGAACTATTGTTAGTACACAACCGATTGTAAATAAACAAAATAAGCGCTAATTAGGTTAACCTCAGTCTAACAGCAAACTGGACCACGATCCGCAAACATTGTATCCTCTTACTAAAACCGAGGGTTCTCTAGGGTAGTGACATAGGATCTTATTTCTATAAACGTTAAGACTAAAATATTCATTTCCATGGCACGATAGTTATAGGAGTTGTAAACGAATTTGACCTAAACACATGCGATTTTATTACCTCGTCAAACGCACGAATTTTACATCATGGGCGTGGATTAATTATTACGAGTTTAAGCGTTAATTTAATCACCCTTTCCTGTTTTGGTAAGGTAATTTATTGTGGATATGATTTACAGATACCTATATATACAAATAATTTTATTAAATAACATATCGAGTGACATTTTGAAGTCTTCCCACATCTCAGGTCCTCAAATCACTAGAAAAAGACTTAACAAGTAATTTTGATTGGATTGTTTCGGCAAATTCAACCCAAGAGCGGTAAGATAAAAGGAATACAAGGAAATTAACGGAAAAATATATATTATCTAAGAGTAAGAAAACTTCAGTTGAAATTTAATGAAAATTAGTTTCAATAACTAAGATAAGATATAAATATTTTAATTGAGTCGATTGGTGTACAATAAAGAATTTTTCATTCATTTATTATGTCTACTGGTAAGTTTATCTTAATAAAAAAAATTCTCAGGGTTGAACAATATTATTAGGTAATGATAGTTTTTCTAATTTATGATATTGTTATAGTATCAGTCATGATTTTCTTTTTACGAATATCTGTCCTCGAGCCGAGGTTTATTGCCCTATTACGTTTTAAGTAAGATTAAATAATAGGTGTTTCCTATTAGTCCTGAAACTCTGATAACCTCTTTAATTTCGTTAGGGGCAACATGAGAAACAAGTGTCGAGTAGATATTATTTTCTATGACACTGTTCAATTCAATGAGTATGTTTCTATGAATAAGGGCATGAATTTCTGTCTGTGGTGTGATGAAATATATTAAAAGATTAGACAGCAGGATATCCTTATAACGATGTTACTCGCAGCGTACAGATTAAAGTAGTGCAAATTCGCATGCCGCGCCTTTACTTAGCAATTATTAAAATTAATTGGGAGCAACACGGAAACGTCGTGTTTTGCGCAACCACCACGTTTTCATTACCAGTGTGAGGTAAACAATTTTAGGGCTATGCCCATTGCCAAAACTGACGGGCAATATTCTAAAACAATAAAGAAAACTTATTTTCTCGCGATTTGTAACAGCAATAGCCCTAAATATTTACCATCACCATTATAATGTCTCCACTACTTCCCGTTCAAGCGTTCCCTTTGGATGTAATGGACTATAGTGAACGGGGTGGGGTCCACGTAGGCACAGTTCGGGTTGCTGGTTATTAACAACTACTGACACAGATAAGACCAACGGCTTAAAGTCTCTTCTGCAGCTGGGAAGAATTCGAAATGCTTAATATCCGAATTGCTAACCACTGTGCCATTGCGCTCTTCAATATTCATGCATTTTCGTAGAATTAAAACCACTATAAGCTTTAAGGCTTTAAACATCCGCGTGGCGATATCTCAAACCAGCACAGGCTGTTGGCCTTGAGGAAAAGCTATCGATTTATTAGCTTTATTGAGACGCTCATCCAAATAATGTTTTGAAAATGTCACCAAGGGATCCAGAAGTCGAGGGTCATGATCTTTAACGGTTAACTATTGCTGTTTTTGTAATGCCAATGAATTAATTTATTAAAATTTAGTATCCTGACTGGATCTCGTCATTGTAATATCTCCTGACTCGATGGCTCTCGAAATACTAATTTTTATTCCACTCCTCATTATATCATGGCCTTCTTTGGATTTTTAACCCATTATAGGTAAGTTAAGATTTATGTAATAAAAAGAAGTCAATCAATTCCAGAAATTCGAATGCGACCACTTTCATAAAAACTAATAGAACCTATTCGAATTTATTTCATTTTTACTTTAGATTTTTTAAGCGTAAAGATATTATGATCAATCGTGATTATATTTGCTTTAACATGAAATTAATTTAAACCAGTGTAAAACAAAGTCGCATCTTGCTGTCTGTACGCTGTGATCATTTAATCTACACACTGGATTTTAACGCGATTTTCATTGACATATAGAATGATTTAAGAGGGGAGGTTTATATGTATAATACAGGACAAAGAGGGCGAAGCTGCTGACGGAAAGCTAGTAAATTATATTTCACATTTCAGAGCCACTTCGTTCCATAACCTAAAAATAGCTCATATTTTCCTCATTTTAAAAACTGCATTAGCTACAAATTAAGTTACTTTTTTTTGTTTGTCGCTAATCTCTGGGCTAATAGTCTTATTTCTCTATCGCAATCACTTTCAAAGACATAGCTATTATGATAGCAATATAACTTATAAAAGTCGCAATCGTTTCGGAACAAATTATGATTTGAAAGATCGAGACAGATTATAAAAACTTCGTAACTTTTAGTAATATTATATTTGTGTCTAACGCTTGTCTTAGATATTTCCAATTAACATCATATCATCGATAAAGTTCCTTAAAAAAACGCCGCGATCGCAACCACATGTCAAATATTTGTAACGTCAAGTATTTTCATGTTATTTTTAAAGGGATTGCTATGCATTTTAAGATTACACAATGAAACTCCTGTATATGTAGAAGGGTTCTTCAAGAGAGGTGGACTCAATAGGCTTATTATAACAACGTTCGGTCAAAGCGATGCAACGTCGGCTGCAACCGAGTGCACTCATCTATTATCTATTACGTAAGGCTATTTTTTGCCTAGGGCGTCAAGTTCCTGTGTCTTAGATAGTTTCATAAACCCGGCACTGACAAAAGTGATTTTGGATTAACGCGCCCTTGTAACCCGAAGCACTGGAACTTTGAAGAAATCACAAATTGTATTTTAAATTTCAAGGTTTATATAAATGCACTTACATTAATCCTGTTCTTGGCCCTCTCGATGGCCTTGGAGTCCTCCTTTTCAGGACTCAGGCGGCAAACCCTCGCACGCCAGTCGTTCGCGCCGGCTGCCTGGAGAGCCGCCAGCCTACAACGCATATTTTATGTATTACAACGTAATATTAGTTTTATAAAAATCTTAAAAACCGAATACTGAAGACACGTGTTCGAATTAAAGGGATATATAAAAGAATATTATACACGGATTTTTTATTTTCTGATGTAACGAGCCCCCACTCTCCAGCTTTATGCCATTTCTTGTTAAATGAAGCAAAAAACAAATTTATTTAATATTTTCCTATTAGCTGACTCACCGACTAAACAGAATTTTTTTTTTTACCCAGGCATCATCCCTAATGTGAATAGATCACATGTACAAATCAGAGTACTATAATAACATTGAGTGACTCTACGCAGAGTAGCGCAGCTCCGAAATGTTGAGGGCTCGATAAAAATACGTTTCAGTAGCACATCACGTTATTAAAATCTATCATTTGATTTAAAACCTTAATCCTTTGACGGTAGAGTTTTAAATGAACAGTCAGAAATTGTCATATTGTTGTAACCTGACGTGCAGCCGTTTATATCTATAATTTTTAAAATCATTCCGGTAGTTTCGGAGCCTATTCGATGCAAGCAAACTATCCAATCTTTCGTCTTTATAATTGTAAAAGTCTAGGTATTTTTAAAACTATTATATACTATAACACATTTAGAAATAACACTATTCACAAACGTGATAATAACACGTTACTTATTCATAGTAATTTCAATGGGATAACAATAGAATGCTCAACATACTATTTCAATCTATGAAGGAAGCGAGGCAACAATGAAGTGATACGATCCATAGAAATATAGGACAAACATGTTCACATACGATTACAATACAGGAAAGATTATGTTTATCATGCAATTTATTAACAACATTATACAACTATTGTATGTTTAGATGAAGTAGATTTTTAATGTATGCATTAAAAAGTACTATTTATTGTGATAATCAGCTAATTTAATTCATTAAAAAAAGCTTCCAGATCGTCGTTGAACGCGGAACTGCTTCAATAAAATACATATAATCTTTATTACATTCTGAAGTAGGTTTTGAAGAGTTCAACGATGTTACAGAATGGCACTACAGTTTAAGGTGGAAAGTTTCGTTCGTTTCGACTATCGACAGATGGCATCAGTGTGCTAATTGATTTTTGTTTACATATTTATCGATAAAAATGGTCATATAGATTTTGAAATGATATGTTTTTTCTGAACATTTCTAAGCATAATACTAGATAATTTAATAACAAAATTTATCGCATACTAGATGTTGCTTCGATTTACTTCGAAAATTACAGCTCATGTCACTCGTGTATGATGTACCTTTCCGTAGGCGACAGAATTTATAAAATCATTCGAGTAATTCCGGAAAGGACGAGGAAAGCCTATCTTTGGTAGGCGTAACAATGCGATTGTTGTGGTTAATATTTAGAACACCCAAATAACTAATCGCTTATAGGAGTATGAGGAAGTTTTCCTGTAAACAATTGCAGGGCTTTGTACTTCCGAGTACTTAGCAATACCAGTATTTTACATTGAAAAATTCCACAAAATTACATTTTTTTTATATTGGTATGCCTTATTTATTTTGTTGAACTTAAAATATTACACTGTCATAGATTAAGGAAGTGTAGGTACTTCTATTTGATTATGATTGATATTCAGTAATAAAAAAACATGTTTTTCTAAAGCATTATACAAAAATATTACGTCGTTCATTTTCTGTTACATATTTTATTAATTGAACAATATTTATTGTTGTAACATTTTATTTAATTCAGACAATCTCGAACAAAGTAGAGAGTCAATAAACAAAATCAATTTTTTTATACAAAATTTCTTTCTATAACACAAAATAAACTGACAAACAGATTTTCATTCGATTCATCAGTAAACTGAGTAGAGTAATTCGCGAAGAAGGATTCTTGCGCAAATTTCAACTGCCTCACTATCACGGTTCACGAAATACATCCTAATGACAAACAGACAACGGAGTTTAAGTAATGGGGTCCCGTTTACTCTTTGGGTGTGGAAACCTAAAAAGTTCTTAAAAGTACAATTTACCTTTCGGCAATGGTGCCCCCGCGGTGCGGCATCTCGGCATGTGTCGCGCTGCGCTGGAGCCCGCCGACAGGCCTGCAAATAAACAAAGAAACAAATTGAAACAACAGCCCGACCGTTTCATACATCTTTACACCAGATCTCTAGGATGGCAGGCAGGAACAATCGAACGCCATAGGCGTGATCTTTTCAAACTTTTTTTGCTTTCTTGTCGTTCATTAGTCATTTCATGCAAGCTATCCGGTTTATAAGACTGCTATCTTAATTAAATATTTATGAATACATTAGTTCACCCAAACCCTAAATTAATTAAATTTAACTAGGGACTCACAGGGAATATGATAGTTTCGGTCGATGAAATAATTAATTAAATGTTTAATAGTATTTAATAAACAATGTACAATAATCCATAAAATATTTATACTTTACTAATTAATTTATATAATTTCGTAACTTATGATTTGATATGGATATTGATTTAATTAGTGGCGACATTGGTCCTATACATTATTTAAGACAACCACTTTATAATAAACAACCCTCTTTATATCAAATATAGAAGTATTAGACTGACGAATCTTTCAAGCACTTTTTTTCATTGTCGCTACTAACGAGCGTATTTTCGTCATTCAGGCAATCCACCGAAACACCCGAAAGAAATATACTTAAAAATATTTTAATCATCATATTTTTGATCAATTTGTATTCACAAATTTTTGGGTAAATGTGTACGGAGACTAATAAGAAGTCTATTAATTAATATCATTAATTACTTATTTAAAGTCATGTCACAACTTCCTACTGTAACTTTTGTTCAAGAAGGTGCCTTTGTCCTAACGTGCTTATCTTTGCCCATTTGGTTTCTAAATGCAAGCATTATCTTATCATTATTTGAAATTCAAAATAATGGAGATCACAATGTTTTTATATTCCCACAAAACATGAGTAATAAAAACTGATGAATAATTTTTGAATGAGTCAGAAAGTACAATGAAAGCTTTCATTATGGTAAAACTTTTGCTTTAATAATTTAATACCATTTACAGTGTAAAGCAGATAAAGGCGATGTCTGTTGGATCTTGTTATTATATATGCATTTATATTAATATGTTGGTCAGCGCAAACACAATTATAAATATTAGACAACATCACATACATTGCTCAGATCACAAATTCAGTAGTTAAAGCACTTGTGTTATTGAAATCTGAAATAACGAAGGCACCACAACATCTAGACCCGAGACAATATATTAAAGTTCATTTTCTACATTAACCCGACCGGGAAACGTACCCGGGAGCTCAGAGATGGAGAAATATGACCACGGAATTCGTCGATCATCACAATTTCCTAGCTTTGATTCGTTCGAATTAAAAATTCAAATAAAAACCACTCAGAAGTCACTTGAAACTTTCCTAATTTTTTTTACTTTGATCTAAAACTCTTAATACTCTTAAAACCATATCGACCCAGCCACGCTCAATTAAAAAGTTTTTTTTGTTAATTTTGTAATAGATAATATAAGATCAAGTTAATACCTCGTCTTCTCAAATTTCTCCTTTAGAAATTTAAAATTGTAGAGTCTATCTTGAACCGGTCTCACAGACAGCATATTGAAAATTTCTTAAAAAATTCACAACACAATATATAACAACACTACAAACTTTAACGTGCGCACATAAAATACATTACAAAACTATTGTATACGAGTACCGAAATTAAACTTATTCATTGTAAATTATAATATTAAAATATTTTGAAAAGCGTTCATGAGTATGACTGCGTTGTGTCAAAGGCAATATGACACTGACAGACTATTCTAAAATGTAATATTATCTATGAATCCCTGTCCGCGTTTATGTCCGACCACCACAAACAACTCAAAAGGAATGCATGTTATCTACAGGACGCGGGACTATTATCCTGGTTAATTTAAAGTTACGGTAAATTAGAGACGTCTACAATGTTTAATGAATTAATGAGACTTGAAATATGATCGAGATAATTTAAAGCCGATAGTTATTTAATTATAATATAACTATTGCTGATTTATGATTTAAAATTTGGTAATAAATGACTTTACGTAAAAGTATAAGCGCAAAATATATTAATCACCATAATAAATTAGTAATTTTCATTAATAAAAATATGTATCATGGGATAAGACTACTATATAATACCATATATGTATAAGTATCAAACTTATTTAAACCATGACATGCCGCCTAGCTACTTATTTTAATAATTATTTACAAATCGAACACAAGAGTTTAAATTGGTATTAAACCTCTGTGTTAGATTTTTATTATAAAGAAAAAAATAATACAATATTATCGTTTTGCAAAAATTTCAACCGTCCAGCTCATTACGATTTCACATATAAGTATAGCCCTGTGACAGACAGATTGACAGAGTGAAAGGGGAGCCATATAAATAGGAACCTTTGGACACAGAACCTTGTGAACGATGATTTATTTTTATTTTCCGAATAAATTTCAACTTAAAATATCTTTTTAGAAGTCAGTGAATATCGTGATTCGAAAAGTAACAAAACACTCAAGCAGCAGAAACTTTAAATTAGATGGAACGTACAGCTTAATAAAAAATAAATATTAAGAGAAAAAAACTAAACTAAGTTTTAAATTAATACCTATATTGATACTCAAACTGATACTTATATTGATAATGTAGTTTCAATATAAACAACAACATTACCCTAAGGTTGTTTGAAAACAAAGAGCGCGTGTTATAAATACCTGAGTTTCCAGCAAAGTAAGCGAGCTTATGGATGTGTGCCTATGAGAAGTGAGCGCGCCCTACGGCGTACCGTTCATGACTGAAGGGCGGGCGGGCGGTTCTGTAGGGACTCTACTAGTGAAAGTCGAATCGAACTCGATCGAAAGACTACGACAAATGATATTAGATTACACCTATTGACATTCAACGAGCACTGAAGCTACTGCAGCTATTGAAAATTCTTTCAACTATGTGAAGCTATATGCGGGTGACATAGGCTATAACTTGAGCTGGTGGAGTTGCACGAAAACAGTTAATGGGTTATAAAAATTCAAACGTTGAAATAACATCTGATCGAGAATTCTAGTAGAATGCATATTGCGCCTACCACAAGAACAGAACAAACAAATGACGAGTTTTAAATCATAGCTAAAAAAACAAAACCATCAAGATCATTAACACGCTAACAAAGTATAATTTACACGATCAGTATTAAGAAAAATTCAAGTTCCATTTTCGAAGTCAGTTTAAAAAATCTCAAATATTTCTATCTGTTACCTCATTAGAGACGCGTCTAAACTGACAAGAAGATGAGTTCATTAGCTGACTGACTTTGTCTTTGACGGAAACAAAATCATTAAAATAACTCCTTGGTTGATACCAAACCGATGTAAGTACAAAAATACTAAAGACACTTAAATGAGACTCCATTAATAACGTACACGTTTGTGTTTCTATATTTAAGAATGTTGTCGACTATTTATGCATATTTATTATATAACATGTTCTAAGCTACCACACAATGTTAAAAAATGCAAATTAATTTCGAATTTAACTCTCAATGTGATGAGTTTTAAAAGCGATCGCTGAAGGTTACAAGTTTTGGATAACCTCATATAGAAAACTGCACATCATCATGCACTTAAACAACTCAAACAACGTCGGAGAGGGCCGCCAGTGCAAGAAAGTGTGCTTTAGATTTTTCCATAGAAATACATGTATATGCAGCTTTAGCCGGCTTCCCTGCTTACTACCAGGATGTTTTGCAACTACGTAAATTGAAATTTTTAGTGCTTCCCTGTCACTTGACTCCAGGCAGAAGTGCACTTGCACTTACACGATTATCGTCTTGTACCTTTAAGTATATAAACACAGGTAAAACAATGAAAGAAGTCATATAATTTTATTTGTAGATTTTTGAGCATTATTAAAAATTTGCGATATCCCCAAAAAAGCATAATTTGGATAAAATACATAATTCAAGCAAAAGTTGATTTTATTTTAACATTATTTTTAAATTCTGAATTATAATGCAATTGGATTATAAATTTGCCATTACAAATGTCCCTCAATTCATAATCGTTATGCATCAATCACAATCAAAACTTGCAGAAACGAAATACATAAAAAAGACAAATTAAAAATACATCAAGGCTTATGGTTTGCACGAAACCAGACCCAGCCAATAAACAACCCGCACCATTAACTGGTACAATAACAAACGATGCAGTGTTTACTTGAAATTTGTTAGCTTGCAATCGCTTTTGGCTGAATCGTAATCATTAGGAAGCACCGAAATACTGATATACAGTTTCGAAAAGAGCAAACACTAACAGAAAGGCACGCAGGTGAGGGTTATCAATATTCTGTTTGACTACGGATTCACCGATTGATCACAAAGCAAAAACTTTGATTCCAATAAAATTGTATCGGTATTTCTTTTTTAGTTTCAAAACTCAAACGACGCAACCGTTCTCCGTTTTACCCTAAAGTTTTTAATCACATTAGTGAATGAAAAAATAATTAATGAAGACAAAACGCTTTCTAAACCCTTGAAAGTAAGTTTATTAATAGTGTATATTAAATTTAACAATTTAATATACACAAGTATATTAAACAAATTCGTTTGGATCCAATTCGGGATTAACTGTGGTCCTGGAGGCCTATTCTGTTTGTTTAGAAAATAAATTTCCAAATGTTCTGTAGTGCATCAGCAGCAGTTCTAAACCCTACTCACCATACAAAACAAAATAACATTTCATTTACGGAGTAACACCAGTAGATCCACTGCTTTTAGGGGATCTTTCTGTACCTCAAAAGCAAAAAAACACGAAACTTATAGGTTCACTCGGATGTTCAAAAGAACGTAAAACTTATAAGAAATCTATGGCTTCCAAAATTTGTTTTTGTTCGCCAATCATCAGCGCGCGAGCCCGATTCGCAGTTCGGATTCTTTTAAATTATAATATACAGTTATATTTTACAAATATAATAAATGATAATTGTTAATGTAAATAATGCTTTAAATTTCTATCGTTTTCGTTTAAAATTCAAAATGAAAATCAACTTCTGGAAAAATGAAGCACGAAATCGCAAGACACTACTTAAGTCTTCCGCAACGAAGCTATAAGCTGACACTGAAAATGCACTCAGTGAATGGTCAGATTTGTGTCGTGTCACTTGGTAAAAGTTTACTCCATTAATAGGCCACGAGGAAATTCTGAGGCGGAGCAATGAAATAAATGATTTATTATCTATCGACGTATCTCTGCTGACATATTAAAGCATAATTATGATGCAACTTGAAGTTTTATAATAACTGTTACAACTCATGTTGCAGTATTATTAAGTCATTCATTATATATTTTTTATTAGAAATAAATCAGGGAGAGAAAGAATAAACTTATTTAAACATTTTTATACACAATCATCGTCATCGTTGCAAGATATATATGTTAATGTGTATCTATTTTATATAACTTCGTCCACAAAGAGTAAAGTTTGAATAGCCATCCAGTCCAATCCACGAGTTTCACAGGACGTGGGATTTTCCGGCACAGGATCGGGAAAATGCTAACGCATTTACGTCGGTTGGAATTTCGATCCAAATACCGGAAGAGGTTCGCTGGGCGAGTGTATTCTCGATATTTCGATATTAACGCATCGTCGATCTACACTATCGGTTGCCAACGTTATTTAAAAACAAAACGATTTTTTTTAAATAATAAAATTACGAATACATTTTTTTAGGAAAAATAATACGGTTACTAAATAAGACAAAACAAAAAAGATTTTGGGCTCGTCCGGGATTTGAACCCAGGACCTCTCGCACCCTAAGCGAAAATCATACCCCTAGACCAACGAGCCAGTTAAAATATTGATGAAATTAACATATCAATATAATTCAAGAAAACATGTCAATAAAATTCAAGAAAACATGTCAATAAAATTATAACAAATGATTATGAGAGTCGTAAATCATAGATAAAAGATTGTATAACGTATTTATTATTGTATAAGTTCGCCAACTGTATTCAAAATTCTTTTTTACGTATTTTTTTTTTATTCCTATTTACGTCCACAACTAAAGAGTTTTTAACTATGACACAACAACAAACAACCAAATAGAATCAACTCCACATTCATATCATTCTTACCGCATCATTTTCAATAAAGAGGTCAAACGAAATAACCGACTGTTACAGTAATCTATCGAACAATAGATATGTCACATCATGGTACATACTTATATGACATAATATCATAATAAACGCGCTCGTACCACTATGAACCAATATTAATGTTTCGTTGAATTACGATGCGACGGAAAATAAACCTATCATCGTTGTGATAACGCACATCACGTTTGGAACTAGAGAAACAATATTATGTACAAGCCTGACGTGCTGGCTGTACAAAACTGTAAAATTTCCCCAGTTGATTTGAAACCTTATTGCATTGAAAGTAGAGTTAAAAATCAACTGAAGATATTTGAGAAATTGCAGTAACCGGCTCGTGTGTGTACATACAGGGCCGGTTATTGTAGTCAGTGGATAAAATTAATATTGTAAATGACAATATTAATGATTTTCACTC